CAATGCACCTGCCAACATGCGCACTCTCCTCCAACGACATTAAATAGTGCCAGCATTCTCTTAAACATTTGAAATCGTTTGTGTCTTCAAGAACTCATATCCTTTCCTTCAAAACTAAACAGCAACCTTGAACTCATAACTTTCAACCCCACACAGTGCACCGCCACTAACATTCTAACTCGTAAAAATATGAAAATCTCGTAATCCATTCTGAACCACCAGCAAGTTGAACATCTCATCAACCGAGAACCTTTCATTTAACTCAATCCAGGAGAACATCACCACATGCAATATAGCTTATATACCTATAGAAAACATCAACTCTAGTTCTGGCCATACTTGTAGAAAACATCAATTCCGGTCGTGGACATAGCCATGGTGAATCCTTCTGAACTCATTAACACATAATTGAGTCATCAAAACCGACCTCTTCTAACTCAACTGAGTCACACAGACTGCCAACCCGAAAGTAACTCAATCTGATATGCTCTTCTGAAGGAACCTTCTGTGAATACATAGTCATTTCTTGCATATCTCCAATATTGCAATGTAGAATAATTCTTGACATAGAAATACAGCAGATCCGATTATCATTCTCCACCAATCTCAATGCCTATACATTCAACAATTCAGAAGTCCTTAAATGCTATATATGATCTGGAACTCGTCAGAACCTTCTCGATAACCACACACCTTACTCTGATCTTCAATACATAACTAATACACACCAAGCAACTCGTGCTTCACCATCACATAACTATTCAAAGAAATAACTGAGCAACCCCTCAGCTCGGAAGCTGACACAACGCATGATCCTACAATCCGATCATCAACAGCAGACTCCCCTACTTAGCTCGAAGCCATGGAACATATCATCGGTAATCCAAAGTACTATATCTTCATGGCTGCCCCGATCCTGCACGACTATTTAGCTGAATACTTTAAAAACTCATGCAATATTGGTCATAGAACACTCTGAAGACTCTGCCAAGAGTTTACCCATCCTTTCAATAGTCAAGCAAAGTTCTCCAAATTCTCTGAAATGATAATAAATGCATTCCACCGAATGAAAACCTCATACGAAACATACGATCCAAACTCATCACACAGGAGATAACTCACTGGTTGTACTCAAATTGACACCTTAACATGAACCTACCATAATCATAACAACTAGGCCACCGGCCAGTCTTCCCAAGTCCCTGCTTACCAACCAAATATAAGAATTCGCCTCGTACGACAAGGAGCGACTGAAATATCTATCACTGCATCCGCTCCCAAGACCAGACAACACATCGCGATAGTAATCAAGCATCCATAGCCATTCGTAATCCATCTGCAGCATCACAAACCGTTAGCGCATAGCGAATACTGAGTGCGACAACATCGCGTATGAATGAATATGAAGAATCAAAATCGTAGGTTTCAAGCTGAAACATGGCTATACAATGAGGAAAGAAAGAAGGGAAATTTTCCTAAATGCCATGCAGTCTCTCGAAGATAGGTATGTACATCATCACACTGATCCGCAAGACTCTACTAGAAACTTGCTCATGACTCGTAGAACCTACAAATCTAGTGCTCTGATACCAACTTGTCATGACCCCAAAATTCACTAGTTGTGATGACACCTAACCCAACCCGTTAGGTCAGCCAATTAACATTAACACAATTATAATAAAATAAAGGTGATCCACAAATGATATATCTGGATTCCATTCAATATCCCAAGGACTGGTAGTACAAGTCATGAGCTACTAAGACTGGATTATTACAAAAACTGATATGAAATAAATACAACTTTTATTTGAAATGCACATAAACAGAATTCAACTCTAAAACTACTCCGGGACAAGTGGTAGCCACATCCGTAAGGCACGAACATCTTCAGAGTCGACTCTCGTCATCCACCGCAGCTCCGCTCTAAGATCTGCATGCAAGGTGCAGAAGTATAGTATGAGTACAACCGACTCAAGTAAGTATCTTGTCTAACCCTATTGTATTTATTCTGATGTACGGCTAAGCCGAGCCAAGAACCAAAATGTGATTCTTTTGGACTCAAAGAACTAAAATGTGTGGAAAAAAAAAACTTGGTGACCATTTTATATGTAACGCCCTTTTAAAGGGCGCTATATGTNTATATATATTATGTGGGCCCACAAATAATTCTTCTGGGCTTAACTGACATAACAATAGTTCAACTGGGTATATCGCCCTTATTTAAGGCGTTATACCTCAAATAATTATACCCCCGGACTGGTTTTTGCCTTATTTAAAGAGGTTAAGAATTTTGTAAGAATCCATTCATAAATATTCTCAAGTTTTCTGAAATATTTATTTGTTAAGTTGTTTTGCATTTTGTTGTTTCATAAATATTTTGTTAACATATTTCGTTGATCATAAAAGATATTTGCCATATTTAAAGATGAAATGGTGAAAAAAAGGTCAACGTTATAAATGATTCAATGATATACTATTGCAAATTTTAATATACTATTACTAATTACCATAGTATTTATTTATATTAAGCAAACATTATTATACAGACATAAGAAATAGTTTGATTTTTTTTTGAATCGTATTGCATAACAATTAATGAAAGATTTTAATAAAGTTTCATATTAAATAAAATTTCTGTGAATAGCAATAAAGTATTTTATATCTATTCGTTAAAATAATATAATTAATAGTATATTAATATATTATGTTTTTTGATATAATAAATAATAAGAATTAATTTTTACATAAAATACACATACATAACACTAGGTATTTGAAAGTGATAATAAATTATATTACTTAACATCACTGGAGACACTGTTTTCACAATAGCATCTGATAAATACAACTTTATAAATATTTAAAACATCATATTATGTTTTTTTTTTTTCGCTATCTATAATTTATTTTACTATTAACATCAAATACCTAATCCACGTTCACCGTACAATAGTTCATAAAACTGTACATAAGTTAATCGCATGAAAGATGTAGTACGTATAATTATGCATAGATGTAGAGCCTGACAATAAATAAATACTTACAAGGTCAGACAAAGCNACTGTGCATAAGTTAATCGCATGAAAGATGTAGTACGTATAATTATGCATAGATGTAGAGCCTGACAATAAATAAATACTTACAAGGTCAGACAAAGCATGTAGCATAAAATATTTACTGTGAGAATTATATTTTTATGTATTATTATTAATATAAAATGGTGCTGGAGATAAAATTGTGAATAATATAAATTTGAAAAGTTATTTGTTTTGATAATACTATTCAATTAAGCATTAATGGTGACACATAAATAATTAAGTTTGTAAATACATTTTTAGTATTTCTTATACATATGAATCATTATTGCAATGTCAATTAGTATATAAAAAATGATTTGAGCTAATGTATTTTTATTATGTTTAATATTATTAATTCATTTGAAAAAATTCCCTTAGTAATGAAATATTGTTTAACGTAATCCATGTATGTATATAACTAATGATAACAAAAATAATAAATGCATGTCATATAGCAAGTACCATGTAAAATAAAAAAAATCTTTATTTTAAAAATAAAAAAGAAATAAATACTAACATTGATGAAAAAAATAATATTATACATGTCATATAGCAAGTACCATGTAAAATAAAAAAAATCTTTATTTTAAAAATAAAAAAGAAATAAATACTAACATTGATGAAAAAAATAATATTATACATGTCATATAGCAAGTACCATGTAAAATGAAAAAAATATTTATTTTAAAAATCAAAAAGAAATAAATACTAACATTGATGAAAAAATAATATTATACATGAAATAAAAACATCATAAAAATGTTAGTAATTAAACTAGTCAGTTAAGCACAGAAGAATTATTTGTGGGCTCACATAATATATATAGAGCCTTCAAAAAGGCTTTATACATATAACACTTTTCAAAAAAGCTTTACATATATAACGCCTTTTAAAAGGGCGCTATACTAAACTGGGTAAACGGCCGTTAAGGTATAGCACCCTTTAAAATGGCGTTATATATAAAATGGTCACCAAATTTTTTTTCCACACATTTTAGTTCTTTGAGTCCAAAAGAATCACATTTTGATTCCGGACTCCGCTAAGCCCCCTAGTGTACTTTTTTATGAATATAACATAACCTAGACTCTGCATCTAGGTAGCTTTATTAAAAAAAGAAAAAAAGGTACACACTGTAAGTCCCACTTAAAGTTTTTCCCTCTGCTGGTTTCAGCTTCTCTTATATATTTATAGCATGTTTAGACAGTGTTTTGATGAATTATAAATGCTTAGTTCTTAATTTTTTTAAATAATTAATTAGGTGTTTGATCAAAATTTTAGGGGATATAGATGTTGAAAATGTTTAGAATCGATTATTATAGAATAGATCCATAGCCAATGATGAGTTTTAATTTGTTACCTCCTTGTTTTAAAATAAAATTAATTAAACAATTCAATTTTGGAATCAAATGAATATTCTTTTTGAAATCTAAGAGGAATAAAGGTCATGAAAATGTTTGATAGCATATGATGATGCGTAAGCAGTGATGAGCAGTAATAGATTTGTTGCCACCTTTTTTTGGAAAGACATTACAAAATTACAAACAAGTTACTTTATTTTGTTTTGGATACGTATTAATAGCAGTTAGTTACCACTGGATTCTTGTAATAATGTTACATATAATATCACACAGATATTTTCCTATAAATTAGAACATGGTCACCAACAATATGTCCGTGCGAACAAAAATTGCAGTTTTTCCAATCTTTGTTTTTTCCTTTTTTTAATCTGCTAAAAGCTCAATGGTTTTTGGTACTCTAGGTCTTGTCTCTTTCTTGAGTTATTTTTCCTTTTTAGGACTAGAAATGAAAGCAAATGGCCTTAGTTTTGATATAATAGCTACTTTTATAGTGGAATTTGTTTTTTCAAAAATCCTTTTGGCTAATGAGCTGCTAATTACTATTATGTTAATAAGCCCCGAAAAAATGTTTTCGTTTAATGAGCTTACGAAAAAGAATAAAATTGGACATAAGAATAATAACGATAGTAATGATACAGATGGGGACGATGATGACGACAAAGATGATGACGATAACTATGATGGTTATATGTACGAGGAAAATGATGATTCACGCGATGATAGAGATTTATCTGATGAATCAGAAAGTGACGATGATGGAGATTCCGGGGACGATTTTATGCCTCCCAACGAAGGGAATGATGATGATGATGATGATGACGATGATGATGACAGTAATGATGGGGATGATGATGAGAGTGACGATGAGAGCGATGATGACGACGACTATGATTATGAAGAGGATGAGGAAGATGAGGACCTGCCACCTGCTAAGAAGAGAAAATAAATATGTACTTAGAATGCTCATTTGGTTTTTATGTTATGGTTAGGAGTAAGTAGTTGGAGGAAGGAGGTTTAGTTTTTCTATCTACTAGCTCTCAGTGTAGGAAATTAACCATCCTTTTTGCAGAATAAATGAATTGTTTTTATTATATGATGGTTGTTATTTATGTGTTACATTTAATTGGATGAGCCTTTTGTTGTCTGCATACTAATTCTTTTTAGTCAAAGGTTTCCACCATGGGAATATATTGAAGATTATGTGAATAACATACAATTTTATTTTTCTATTTGGATATATATTTTTGTATCCCTTTTAACATTCAATTATATCGAAGTCCAAGGATAATGTTCGAAAAGACCAAGGGAAATTTCACAAGAATGGAAGAGAAAGAACAGTGGAAAATAAATTTGAAATTACATAAACATTGTTTTCCCTAGCCACTTTTTGATGCAATCGACATGAAATGTATAAGAGCACAAGAGGCAGATTTATTGGCTGTGTGAATATCAAAGTAAGGAGTGGAATTTGTTTTTTAAAAAATGTTTGGAATAACGGTACATTCATGGTTTTGAATAAAGAGTAACAATTTGTTTTTTACATTTAGAATTATGCTTAATGCAATTGGTTACGCTGGATTCTTGTAATAGTGTTTTAAAATCACATAGTAATTTTTCTTTTTAGATTTCAAGTTCTATACACGGAAGATAAAATAAAATATTTACACAAGCATATCTCTTAAAAGGTAATTATAATTGACTCTATTTAATTGCATTGATTGATAATTTGAAATGACATATTAAATTACACTGATGATAAACATAATTTGGAAGTGACATGTAGTTAGCCGTTAATTCTCTCTCTAAAAGTTCTCTCTCGCCTCTCTCTAAATGCATTCAAGAGATCCCAATGGACCACCAGTGGTCCCACAACCCCCACCTCCTGCACCACCAGATCACCACCAGATCCACCACCACAATAAACCAACGAGCACTTGACAAAAACTCAATCCACCCCATCAAGCATAAGAGCTACTTCTCCCCTTAACACTCCACCACCGATCAACACCCAAAATAAGGCCAATAATCACCTATCTTCTGTATCTCAACATCATAGTATTACCATAGATCTCAAAAATAAAGAGAATCACACTGGAATTTTCAATGCTCTAACACAGACAAATCTCCCAACGGATCTTTGCACTTTACAAGACCAAAGGGCATCTCTTCCGGTTCAGAGCACCACATCGCTACCCCCGCCTATAAAAGTTTCTTCTAATTTTGACCCACCTCATAATGCTAGTCGTGCTAACAATGTCATGCAAAATACTAATTCTAATCTTTACCAGACTGAGCAGAACACTCTAAACAATAACCCACGCCCCACAGCCACAATCAATCAAAAGGCTCTATCATGGCCACCTGCCTCTGTTTCCAAACCATCATTTGCCTCTTCTATCTCTGCGACTCTTGCTAGCAGCTCCGTGGGGAAACAACCTGTTGATATTAAGCATGGAACTCACATGGGTAAGCCAACGGTTTATTTTACTGCTGAGGATTACTTTGTTAATCTAGATGAGGATTGTAAGCTTACTATTGTTGGGAAGTTTCTTAAAGGAAAGCCAAACATAGAGGAAGTTAGAAAATTATTCATCAGTCATGTACCTTTGAAAGGTACTGTCAAGATTGCCTATTACGGCTCCACCCATGTGTACATCGATTTTTCTAATGAAGTTGATTTCTATCATATTTATTTCAAGCCCTTCATTACCCTTGGTCCTTATATTATGAAGATAATTATGTGGACTTCTCATTTTGTCCCTGAAAATGAAACAACCATAGCTCCTGTTTGGATTTTGATTCATTAACTACCACGGTATTTGTTCAGATGGGATATATTGTCTAGGATGGTTAGCTCCGTCGGAACTGCTATGGCTCTAGACATGGCTACTTATTCGAAGTCTAGAGGTAATGTGGCAAAGCTGAAAGTCGAAATTGATTTGCTAAAACCTAAGCAAGGCCAAATTTGGGTGGGATTTAATAGGCTAGTCATTAATCCTGAGGATGATTATTGGCTAGATATTGAATATGAAAGAGCTCCTTCATACTGCCTATATTATTCTATGCAAGGACATGATCAAAATTCTTGTAGAAATAAAAAGAGAGATGAAGAATTTAAGGCTCACGATATCTCCAACAAAGAAGTGGATAACGATGAATGGAAAGTTCAAAGAAACTTTAGATCGCGCGCTAGAAGAAATGGTCAGCATGCTACTAATAGGAGTGCTTGCAATGGGCAATCTCTATAAAAGGATCAAAATGGCAACCTCCAAAGCAATATTCTAACAGAACAACCGGAAAGAGGACAAGATAATCATGCTATACATACTGAAAACATGCATACTCACCAGCAAACTAACAACTTGTTAACACAACATCAGAGTAAAGTTAAATAGTTTGAACATGTGGCTCAAACACAACAGATGCTAAATCAAAAGAGAGGAAAGAAGAAGAAAGTCCAGTGGAGAGCTCATCAGAATTCATCCCAACCCAGTTCTTCCAATACCCAACTCAATGAACCAAAACAGGCTCCATAAGGAAATGTCAGTCAACTAGAGTCTATTCCAAAGTCACGATTCCCACAAACTACAAACTCACAGCCTCAATCATCTATCCGTAAATACATTGATCGCCTTTCTGATCACAACAAAGCTCCTCAATCAATAATAAACATAACAGTTATCCCCAGCCCTATCAAAAACCAAATCCAATCCACCACAATTGCTAAATTCCCAAAATATGCTCAACATACACCTCCTCAACTAGACAACACTCAACCTCTATGCGTTGAAGTCTCTAAGGAGAATCATCCATCCCAAGAACCACCAGATCCTCCACCGGACCATAACCCTAATAATCCAGAAGTTGGACAACCTTTTACGGATGCCAATGATGAAATAGACTACGAAAGTGAAATCGTTATTGATTCTCAATTTGTTGCATCCCGTGAAGAATCAGAAATTGGTGAATATGAGAATGAAATGGTCAGTGATACTGAAGATGACTATGAAAGCATTGAAGATCAAGCGCTATCTAGTGATAATTGCTCAGATAAAATTTCAGTCTATAGTGATTACAATGTCACCAAACCAGCTAAAGGTTTTACTTCTCAACACACAACCACGAATGAAATAGATCAAGCAAATGGGGATATCTTTGACAAGCATAATTTGTCTCCTAGGGGCCTCGAATCTAGGAGAGGTGGACTATCAACTAGAGGTGACATAAGAGGAAGAAAAGGCAAAGGTATTCCTTCTGTGAAGTATTCACAGAACAATGATGAATTATCACCAACTTTTTAATGATTAAGTCGCTAATATGGAATATTAGAGGCATCAAATCACATGGTTCCTTTGACAGATTAATGCAACTCAAAAGAGCTCACAACCTCAGCTTCATTGCAGTTATGGAACCTTTTTGTAGAAGATTTAAGTTGGACAAGTTTAGAAGAAGGTTGGATTTCGATTTTGCTCATGCCAACTCTAATAACAAAATCTGGCTCTTTAGTGATATGGCTATTAATTGCACTGTTATTGAAGATCTGGATCAACATGTTACTTGCTCAATCAACAATAATGGGGACAACATGTACATTACAATAATATACGCTAAGTGCCACATTCATTTAAGGGAAGAGTTATGGGATAGTATTAAGAACTTTGCTGAAGGGAACACCTCTCCTTGGATGGTAGTAGAGGATTTTAATTTCATTACTGACCCAGAGGAGAAAAAAGGAGGTGTTGCTCATAATATATCCAAGAGTATGGCATTTATCAACTGCATCTTGGACAGTGGACTAATTGATTTGGGCTATTCTGGCTCTCCTTTAACATGGTGTAATGGATGGGCTCCTAGAAGGAGAATTTGGGCAAGACTAGACAGAGCTCTTGCCAACTCTGAATGGATCCAAAATTTTGCAGAGACCTCTGTTGAACATCTTGTTAGAATTGGCTCTGACCATTCGCCATTGCTTATTTCCACCTCTAATCCTCAAACTGAACCTAAAAAATACTTCAGATTTCTGGATTTTTGGACTGAACAATAGGGATTCATGCAAGTAGTTGAAGATGCTTGGGAAATTCAAGTGGAGGGAGGTCCCATGTGGAAATTTCCCCACAAACTTAAAAGTATTTGCAAAAGTCTCTCTTATTGGTCTAAAAATACTATTGGCAATATTTTTGACAATACCAAAGAGCTACAGTCTAAGCTTGAGGAGTTAGAACAAAATTGCTTGATTGACAACTCGGAGTCTAACAGAATGGAATATAACAAAATGAATGCCTAGCTAATTAGGTACATCAACAATGAGGAATCTTTTTGGAGACAAAAGGTCGGATTGAAGTGGTACACAGATGGAGACAACAACACCAAGTTCTTCCACTCAGTAATTAACTCCAGAAGGAAGAAACTCCAATTTAAAAGAATTAGAAAGCAAGATGACTCATGGCTGGAGAATAGTGAGGATATAACTACTGAAGCTATACAGTTCTTTCAGCATCGGTTCTCCTAAGAAATCACTTGCAGGGATTTCTCAATTCTTAGAAGACTTTCTAGATTGGTTGACGAGGAAGATAACAGGATGCTAGGAGATATACCTACTATGGAGGAGCTCAAACATATTGTATTCTCCATGAGTAGTACTAGTTCCCCCGGTCCAGATGGTATATCTGGAAAGCTTTTTCACCAGTGTTGGAACATAATCTCATCTGGCCTTTACATGGTTATTCTGGATTTCTTTTCTGGTAATCAGCTCCCTAGGTCTTTTACACACACCAATCTAGTCTTGATCCCCAAAATAGACAACCCACAGGAATTCACAGATTTTAGACCTATTAGTTTAAGCAATTTCACATTGAAAATTATTTCTAAGTTGCTTAATAGTAGGTTAGCTCCTATGTTTTAAAAAATATTTTTGGGGTGAGCCCCGAGGCGAGGCGTACGAAAAAT